AATTCAATGGATAGGCTATCCATCGTATGAATCAACTTGGGAACCAGCTAAAAATTTAGCAAATGCACCTTTGATAGTTCAGGAGTTTGAACGTATGTGTAACGAGGACGTTGCATCTTAAAAGGAGGGAGGTTTGTAACCATCTTTAGTTAGTTAGAACTAAAGTAGAGGTTACTCTAAATATTGATGTAGATACTTTAGTGTGCACAAGTCATAGCTGCCACGTCAGCGATCCGCACACTTGGTAGGTACAGAATGGATGTGTTAGTTGACAGTGCCACGTCAGCAGTCCGTGTGCTTGTAGGTAAGGATTGAGTGTGTTAGTTAGTGTGTTAGTTCGGAGCTCACTTGCCTTTCTGCCTCTATAGAAGTAGACTTACTCCATCCCGAGTATAAAAACAGCAATAGAAGCAGAACCAAAATCAATTTACAAAAACGATACATGAAGCTTGGTTCCACACCTTCATGATCAAAAAGCTATTTCCACAAAGTGGGTCTTCACAGTGAAGACAAATACAGATGACACCATAGCGAAGCTCAAGGCTCGCCTTGTTGCACAAGGTTTCCAGCAACAAGCCGGTCAGGATTACAACAAAACCTTCGTCCCAGTCGTCAAATAAAATAACATTCGCAGCGTGGTGGCATTAGTGGGACATCAAGGTTGGTCAATCTACCATCTTGATGTAAAAATAGCTTTCCTCAACGGGGTCATCACTGAGGACATATATGTCTCTCCTCTGCCAGGTTTCTCCAGCTCACCACTGACTCATGCATGCAAGCCGAGAAAAGCATTATGTGGGCTCAAACAGGCCTCACGTGCATCGAATAATAAAGTGGACAACCACCTGCTATCACAAGGCTTGCACAAGTCCAAGGCAGATACAATTTGTATTTCCATGAGGAGCATGACAAGATCACACTGCTTATACTTTACGTCAAGAATGTGTATCTTACTGGTAACAACATCAAGTGCATTTACTCCATACGGGTAGAAATTCAAGAAGAATTTGAGATGTCAGACTTGCTGTCTTATAGTCTAGGACTCGAATTTCTATTCAAATCGTAGGGCATTCTAGTCACACAGCGACAATACATTAAGGAAATTCTTCATGAGTTTGGACTCCAGGACTGCAAACTTGTCTTAACCCCCATTGTTAAGAAGCTCAAGTTGGCTCCAGATATGCAAGCACCCGCCACAAACATCACTCGCTACCAGCGCATGGTGGGAAAACTCATATTTTTGTCTCACACGCGCCTGGACATCTATTATGCAGTAAGCGTTGTTAGTTGGGTGATGTAAAAGCCACAGGAGCCGCACCTCCAGGCCGTTAAGCATCTGTTTGGTACCTTAAGGGCACTGCTAGATTAGCCTTGCTTACCGGAGGAAGTAAACAAGCGAGCTTACCAGTTTCACTAATGCCGACTGGACGGCTGATTCTTACGACAAAAAGTCCATCACCGGAATCATCTTTTTGCTGGGAAGCACACCTACGTGGAATAGCCGCAAGCAACTGTCTGTTGCACTTTCTTCAACAGATGCCGAATACATGGTGCTGTCTGAAGGCGCCAAGAAAGCTCTCTGGTTGAGAAGACTCTTGGGAGAAATTCACGTACAAGATCTGCAACACGCAACAAAAATCCACGGTGAAAATCAGGAAAGTATGAATCTCTACCACAAACATGTATACCACGGGCACATCAAACACATCGAGGTACGCCACCACTTCATTCGTGAGAAGATACAGTCTAATGAAATCAATATGGAATATGTGACTACCATTGATCTGCTTACCGACATCTCAACAAAGCCTCTAGTAAGAACCAACTTTGAGAGAATTTGGAAGCAATTAGGTTTAGTAGACAAAGAGCCAAAGAAAGCTGATGAAAGAAAGTATCAAAATCTGTTTATTGCACAAGAGCTATAGCTCGTAGTAATTAGGGTAATCACTCCAACTAGTAGTGCAATCGTGGAGTGATACATAGACAGGTAGAGACTTAGATCTAATTCTAGTTTATCTAACCTTACTCTCAATACTTTCCATGCTTTCAGAAACTACAACTCTAAAATGAGCTAGTTCATAGAGCAATCGTTGGTTTGGAGTCAGCCAAACAGTTTGGTGGTGTAACACAAAATCATTGTATCCTAATGCATCTAGCTGTAGAAAATTCAGAACTTTTTATTCTAAAGTATCTTCTATGAAGCTCCTCCACAACACACGTTCAAACAACGAAGACCCAACAACAAGTTCACATAAGGTGAACGATACAGAATTGGCTAAAGTTTATCTTTGACGATTTCATAATGCAAGGTGGGAATAAGAGTTCCGCAAGAACAACATCGTCCAACGCTCAGCTTCAAAGGAGCGACATCAATTGAGGGTGGAGTCGTTGAAGAATCAACATTCGACTGAACGCTCAACTTCAAGGGAGCAGCACCAATTGACAATGGATTAGTTAAAGAATCAACACTCGACTCAACGCTCAGCTTCAAGGGAGCAGCACGAATTGACAATGGAGTAGTTAAAGAATCAGCACTCGACTCATCTTCTAGGATTTCATGTCAACTTTGAGGGCGATTCTCACTTGAAGCTGCCAAGAAACACCGCTTCAGGAACTCCTTCTCAGAGCCAGCTAATCTGCGTAGGAGGCTGCAGAGCACTCACAAATTGAAAATTAAGATCTGCCACACAGACGGATTATCAAGCGAAATCAAAGCGTTGCCTACCGACTGCTCTTCAGGTGTTGCCATAGCCAGCGAGTTTTCACTCAGATACATGTGTATTTGATCGAGGGGGGTGTCGGCAGGTTGGAGACTGTCTAGGTGTCACTTTGAGTGACTCAACTCCACCTTGTTGATATGGCCACGACTCGGTAGTTGAGCGTTTCACGGTGAATGAGACTGACGGCTATGTGAGCGAAAGGCTCAGCATCTGAGCAGCATTTAAGCTGAGGTTATCAACAGTAGACACTCACTATATATAGTATTTTGCACTGAGTAAAGCATCTGTTTACATTGTGTCAATCAGACCTCGTTATCTTACTTATAGCCACGTTGTAACATGTTCGCATAGAAGATCACTGATGCTAGTCATCTATAAAAATCTACTCTCATATATATACATATATATATTTCATCATGATCAATAATTCAATTTTAACCTCTAAATTCACCATCAACTAATTTTTTTTTTTCATCTTTATTATCATCATAATCTATTTTGAACATTGATTTTCCTTAGAAATTTTATTTTTTATAGCAATACAAAATAGTAATTTTACTTTTCCTCATAATTTCATTGTCTATTATTCAGCACTTAACAATTTTTATAGACCTCACCGTTTGATTGTTCATTGTCATTCAATGTACATTTTCATTGTTTTTTTCACTACTACTAATTATTACTTATTCTTATATATCTTTGCTAGTTCAACTTTTTAACCCTTCTAGATTGAAAATCATGATAACTTTATCAACACTCTTTAATTATTATTTTTATCTACATTTATATTTCAAAACTTTGATATTTTTTTGCTTTGATTTTGATTTTTGTATTGGTATTTTAATATTGAAAATTTTATTTTTTGTTACGTGTTTTTCAGCATTTTGTCATTATAATATTATTTTGAGCATTTTTGTATATTTTTTAGCACTTTCTATGAACAATTTGATATTGTTAGATTTCAATTGTCATATGTTGCATCAAAATTTCAGCTTCATCCCTTAGTTTTTAACGTTTGCATATTTTTTAATTCATAAGCACGTTTTGAAATTTTCATTTATAATAATTTTGTGCTTCAATGTTTGCATTTTGTACTAGCATGATGAGTTTTTCACTTCTTATCCACAAATTGAATAACATCATTTCATCCTATTATATTTGATTTTAACACTTTAGTTATTTGTACTTTTATGTTGGCATTTTAAATAAATTTATTTTATTTGATATTCAAGCAATTTTTTATTTTGAATTTCATATTGTGATGTCTTTAGAGTATAATAACATTGCTAGTAATCATGTTAACATACAACATCATAATATCTTACTATCATTGAAATAAAATTATAGAAACATATTTCTTTTCACGTGTAATTTATGTAATCATAATTATATAGATTGTTAAAATTTGTCAATCAAATATTAATGAGTATTTATCTTAATAAAATATAACAGAAAATAATATTCTTCATATAGGAAGTACAATCAAGTTCTTGTTGCATAATGTAATAATCTAGCTAATGTAAAAATTTAGGATTTTTGTAAGAATAGATACGCTTTGTTTTTCCTCTTTCATTTCTGCAAATAAGATTCTGGATCTCTATACTACACGAAGGTTGTCAACTATACCAGCAGAGCAGTGAAATCCGAGAACATTGACCCGAATGTGAAGCAAAAATCAATAGATTAAGTTCTACACAAAAGTTTACTTCGATTGCACGCAAAGCAGGCCGTACGGTCTCCGAAGAATAATAATATATAATAGGGATGGAAAGCGAGATTACACATGTCTCTAATCGCTTGCAATAATTTCATGACCTGAGGTTCGACTAGTCTTTTATGAGCTAGAATGAGTACATTACTTGATGACCCCGGGGAAATTCAAAACACTTGATGGACCCACGGTAAGTGATGTTCCAATACTATCTGGGGTTATTTCGTTTAGAACATCAAGTCACGATAATACTGTATCCGGAGGAATTCGGACTCATGGTGCCCGTGGTTTTCTTAGACATGGTTGCAAACTAGTCGCCAAAATACTCTGGCCCCACAGTGGCGGACACTCACCACTCTATAGAGCAAATTAGTAGGTTATAAGAACATGGCTTACGGTGGCCGTCGAATGGATCCCATCGGGTAAAATGAAACCTGATGGGTTCTTCAAGACGATTGAGTTTCCAAGGGTCACATCAAGTAATTTCCTCGAGCTAGAATCTGTGCGTTTGGTGTGACTTGTTGAGATTGTTATGGTTCATAAATAGAACAGAGGACGTCGAGCAGAATATAGCTTAATACAAGTGACAAATCCGGGATCTGTCCACGGTCTTCTAAAGGGAAGACTAGGGAAACAGAGACGCCTGCTGACAGAGGGCAGAAATTATCGCCGCGAGCGCGGGGCGGGTGGAGGTCGTGGTCGCAGTTGGCAGTTCGCAGTTGGAAGATTGGCATGGTGAAGATGGTGAACGTTCGGAAGACGAAGAAGGAGGCCTGCGGAGCCCAGGACTGCAAGAAGCTCAAGCTGCCCAGGATGACGCAGTGCAAGAAGCTCACGCTGGGGGTGAAGGGCGATGGCGAAGGGCGAAGGGCGAAGGGCGCAGGGCGGATGACGAAGGGCAAGGGTGCCCTGTGCGTGCAGGGCAAGCCCAAGCCCGTCTTAAACAAGAAGGCGAAGACCACGAAGAAAATGCTCCTGCAATTCCAGTGCCAAAACTGCACTTTCTATTTTTCCTAGTTCTGCCCAGATGGTGCTCCTCCGTGTCATGTCGTTCGCGTTTCTGTTCATTCGAAATTCCCCGATCGGAACGGCCCGAGGACTGACAAAATGAATAGATTCAATCACAACCTTGACACTTGGCAAGTTGGGCAAGTTGTGCAAGGTATGCAGTGAACACAGCGCCATGCTGTCGAATGTATTCGGCTTGCTGAAGGAATATAATGATTACATTATGACTCCTGTCCTCTGCTTTGCAATGTGCGCACTCAGAATATCACTTCATATCGTGATTATTTTCACAGTTCATTACGCCTTCTGAACTTCTTCTAGCGCTGTAGCTCGACTTGTTCTCAACTTGAGTCCTTGGGTGGACCAGCAGTTCCAGTCCACATTCCTGATCCAGTTCCACTACATCCGAGCTGCACAGGACGTCAGCGCTCCTCCTCGTCCTCCATAGTCTTCTTTCTCAAGCCTCGGTCCTCACGCACCGGACGGACAGTATCATGTCGCCTGTCGAAACAGGAAAGGCTTGCTCCCCTTTTGGACTCAGTATCGCTGTGATTCCAGCATGCGATTCCAGAGTCGAGCCATGCGGATCGTCCATGGTGGTTCAGGATGGTGAAGGATGCATCCTATGTATCCTTCTGTGCCTTCCTTCTCAACCACATACGCTGACCGATGATGGTTACCCATCCGAACTTTGGATCTTTGCTGTTTCTTTTGCGTTGATGATCGATCTACTCGAAGGGTAGAGGCCTCAAAATGTGGAAGCTGATTTACTCTGTTAGGCTCTGAGGTGGTGTATGTTACAAAAATCTATCGTGATAGTAGCAGACAATAAATTCATTATATATCCAGAAGGCGTGTCTGTCCCGGACCCTACCTGATCCGATTCATCGTCAACACTGTATCCAGCTGCCAGCACACAGAACTCGCAAGTTGCACAGACGTATGAAGCCTTGTCTTGCCTTGGCTTGTCATCTACTACACGTCGAGGGCAATGAGGTGAGTCGATGGAGGACCCCGACGATCCAATCGTTTGTGAAAAACTGGAAACCCAAATGGGGAGCCGACCGTCCTTCAGTCAATGAGCGTGTAAAGTACGAAAACAATCAACGACCCATTAGAGTTTTAATTGTTCGAAATACAAAGCAGGCTACACGACCTGAAATCGATAGTAAACTCGATAGAAAACGGAATTGGGGTGTTCTTTTTACTTAATTTCATGAAGTAGGCTACGAAGTCTTTTTTTTCCATGATTTTGACTGTCCTGTGAAGTATGGGAATGAATCGGTTCGGTTCTCAAAAAGGTTCGGTTCGGTTCGATTCTCAAAACGTTTATGGGAAGTGAACTGAACCCCGGCCGTGAGCTTTGTACCCGACTTCTTAATCAAGGCTTATGTGAAGATCTTGCAGCCATTAAAACAAACGACATCAGTCGTAGACATCGCCTCCAGTCGAAGACCATCTGGTCTGCAGCGAGAAGCTTCGAGAAGCCCAACCTTTGCAACTCAAATCCTCCCCGGCAAGTCGATGGTTCCGACATCTCTTCAACTTCATCGTAGAGCTCGCGACAAGTGGCTCGTGTCCACATCCCTGACGATCAAGATAAGAGAACCGATCTGAATTCCGAATTGGAAGTATTACAAGTTACTCTTTGCAGCCTCCGACCTTCATCGAGAAGGTCGGAGGGTGCAATCTTATCTGACCCTAGGCACTGCAAGCGGTGTACCATACTTCGCAGAAATTTCTTACTCCTGATGGTGTCCCGGAGAGTTTACAGCAGGATCTCCAATTTTCAGCTGAGAAGATTTGACCATGTCACCGAGACGTCGTTAGTGCTCGTCGAACCTTCGGGTCTGCGGCTCTGCAGATGTAGCGGCAAAGTCCTCTCCCCCCGGGAAAGAAGAAACAGAGCAAAGAGAATCAGATGGGCTCAGAGCTTTGCTCGTTGATGAATCTTGAAGATGTTCGTAAGTGAACACATTCACTTCGAGTCTGCTAGTTGCTGCTGGGCCAAAATCTGATTCGAGTGTCTCTGTGTCGTCTTGAAATGAGTGAATGTAGTCTCCTCGGGAGTGGAAAGAACATCGCATGCCTTACCTGGACTCAACGCCAAATCTATAAGTCTGGAAAATCGAGTTCTGAAACATTGGATATCCACCCCTTTGAGATTGGAAGCTACATAAGATTGTTCCAAATCCCTCCGTCAGTGTAGACTTCTTAAAGACTGTTCGGACACAGGAGCCAGTCTTCGAATGAACTGACTGAGTTGAATCAACGAACTCCAGCGGAGCGTGTCAATCGGAGTCGTAAATACAAATCAGTCAGTTCATTCGAAGAATTGCTCCTGTGTCCGATGAAAAGTCTCGTGCGAGTTGATTAACAGAGCTGGGGATGACTAACCTCAAGCATACATCTCGTCCGCACGTGATGTCAAACTCTCACTCCATGCAAAGTCCGAAGCTGAGAAAGTTACCGTCCAAGCTTAATCCTCGTTCAGATCAAGCAATTCATGTCCAGGTAACTGAAAGGAAAAGAGCAACTTCTAAACAACGCCACACAGGATTGTAGGTAGCACATTTGCACCAATTGCACCTCACGTTCCTGATTTTTTCCCAGTCTTTTCGGTCTTTTTCGGACGGAAGATGAATTCAGAGATTGAGCTATTCGGGAGGAGGAGCATGGTTGAGTCCTACGATCGTGGAGGATGTTCTCGAGAACTCCATCAGCAGCCCTCGTACTCTGCATTTCGTAGGAGAGCATTGAAACAATCTGTTGGGACGCTCAAAGGATAGACGAAAACTCGCGCATTGAATCTCATCCGCCAATTCGCAACCACGAACGCCATCCCTGTACAGGATACATCGATCTATCTGGATCGAAGTTGGCCTCTTTATGGAGTTGTTCAGAGTACGAGTCAACAGACTGTTAGCTGATGCTCAGATGATAGATGCACTCCAGACTGAACGAAATCGACGAACGAGTTGTTAAGATATGCAATACTCGAGGAAGTCCACAACAGGTGCAGTTTCGTCGACATTCAAAATCCTTTCTTTTTCTTGCACTCTTATCCCTGCAGCGAAACGACCCGACCAGCTACCGAGAACGAAATTGTGGGAGACATTGCATCGACAAGTCTTCACGAGCACATGGAACTACAGAAGGCTCTTCTAGCCACGTTGTAACATGCTCGCGTAGAAGGTCACTGCTGCTAGTCGTCGTCAACGTTTTCCACGGAGATCTCTCGGAGTTTCCAATTTCTGCTGGAAATCAAATGGTACGTTCACAATTCTCGGTTCTGCCCGACTTACTGCATCATACGAGGACGAGTACACATTACGGAAACTATCAGGCCAGAAAAATGTCCACAACGAGTAGATTAATCATCGAGAATATTTCGAGCTCAAATTGGTGAACACAGACATCTGGAGAAATTTTAATTCATTATTTCGTGTTATGAACAACGATGACGGAGGTCTTGAAAGAAATGTTAAGGGGCCTCTTCTGATTAATTCGTGTTGGTCATGAAAGCTTCAAGCGTAAAGAGGCGAGAGGGCAGTCACTCGAAGTTCCCTCTGTCGTACACAAGTCATGCACTTCAACATAGAGGCCCCATTTTTCTTATACAACACTTTAATGAAGTAGTCGTGCACTTTTGCTATAAGCTGGGAGCGAATGCTTGAACTCAAATCCCACTAGGACCAAGAGAAGAAGCAGGGGACCCAAGGAGGACACAACCAAGTAAGTGACATGTAGCCTCTTCCTTGTGCACAACGTAAAGTAGGACATCTATCACCGATCACGGCTTGTTCATGTACTAAAGGTTCCTATGAGACCGGCAAATTTTCAGTTGTCGCCTTCGCCAATCTTTGGGAGCATGAGATAGGTTTTGGGTCAACGCACGAGCACGATTTCTATCGTTCGAGACTTGCAGCGGCCGAATACATACATCATCAGAAACACGAGGTCAGCTGTCAATCAGTTGAGCATCTGTGTTCTTCGGGTCCAGAACTATGTCTGAAAGCCTCTTTCTAGTGATTTCTGGGTTTGGTTGTGTAAGATATCTTTCTGCAAGTTTGATCCGAGACTTGAAACTCTTGAACTCATTTCTAAACAAATGTACCAAGTCTCTCGATGAGTAGGAATGGAAGTTGAAGTACGAGTCATACTTGGGCTTGAGTAATATTGTCGTACTGTATGACCGTGTTTTGTGCGTTTTGAAGAGCAGCTCTGAGTGGTCAAATATCATACGTAAACTGTGCATCTCTTACACTCTCACTCTGGTCCACACATTGAATACTTCATTGCTGCCGAGTGCGGTACCTGTCTTTCCAAAATCCTCATTCTAATGCTGCAATTAAATCAACCGTCTCCGCAGTTTCAGGATGTTCAGAAGTGACACAGATTTAAGATTTTACACCAATAAGAATGAAGGCAGGGTATGTGATACTATTGTTTTGATGGGTATTCTGGAATTTGTATTTCTCCCTCGTGATTTCTCATTTAAACCTCAATTCTGTACAGCAAATGATCACCGGACACCGGAGATTCATTCCAGTAAACTATCATTACTGTCCAAGTATCATCACAGGCAGACTTCAGAATTCATAGATACATGTATGGAGGAATATTACTTCGATCCTTAGGATGCTGCAGATGTTCATGAAGAAAGAGTTCTATGGAACTTGATTGTGTGTGTATGAGAGAGAGAGAGTGTGTGTGTGTGTGTGATGAGTGATGATATGGATGAACAAGTAGTTCGATAGTCCTCGTCTAAAAGACATGTTATGAATAACGAGTGTATGATATCCTTTGTCGTCTCCTCTCAGTCTTGTGCCAGATGAACGTGTGTCGTGTAAATCGGATGTTTCGCTCCCTTCACGAAACATTCGTTAGTAGTCAGCTCATTTGACACAACGCCATACCTTGCTTGTAAAGTTTCTCAAACAATATTGAAGTGCATGGTTGAGAATTAACGGTGCGCTTTGCATTCTCCCTGCTAACTACTGCCAGATAGGAAAACTTCATCATTCGAGCTCTGCCTATATATATATAAATGAGGAGCCCGATTTGTGTCCATCATTGTGTAGAATACCAGTATCTTCGAGTAGCTACACAAACAAGCTCTCTCTCTCAGCTTCGACATGTGGATCTGCGAGTCCTTCGAATTGTCACTCGAGCTTTGCAATCGACTGACCCCGCAGACATACGAATCTCTCTCTCTCTCTCTCTCTCTCTCTCTCTCTCTCTCTCTCTCTCTCTCTCTCTCTCTCTCTCTCTCTCTCTCTCTCTCTCTCTCTCTCTCTCTCTCTCTCTCTCTCTCTCTCTACTTCGACATGTGGATCTGCGAGTCCTTCGAATTTTGCCAATCGACTGACCCCGCAGACATACGAATCTCAGTCTCTCTCTGGTCTCTCTCACAAACACACACACACATCTGTAACCTGAAGCAGATCCACATGAAACTGAAGGAGATCCGAGGTGAGGTAAATCGCAAATGATCTCAGTAGAAACAAATTTTTTGATCAACGACTGCTTGAGAATGAAATGTGAATTTACAGATTCTTTCATTCAGTCGTCATGACGATGACGATCTTTCCGATCTTTCCGTGGTATGCATCTGACAGGCGTCTTTTCGCCCTCACTCCACATCCGAGAGCTCTTCGCATCAACTCCATACCACCGCCACCTCCACCGCTGCCTTTCCTTACTGTACTAGAACGATGTGGCGTGACGAATTATTCTAAACTCAGGGTCGAGAAGCACCTACCCATAGAACATGTCAGTCTGACCGACTGCTTTGAAGGCCGGCGAAACTGCAACAACGTACTTCTGACATCAGATTTCTTACCACGATGAATCTCCTTTACCACGCAAGTGCTTTCGTTTATATCTCCGTAGGTTAGACCTGCAACGACAAATTGTGAATCAGCGGTGTCAAATTATTCGAAGCATGCCTTTGCAGTGCTATGATTCTAATAGTCCGTAAATGAATGGGTCACGTTCAGTTCGGAAAGAGTTCTCGCTTCAGTAACTGACTGACAGGGTATCACAGCAACTCGAATGGGGTGAAATTTTTCGAGTCTGCGATCTAGCTCATGGTACCACGGTAGGCCCATGGATCTCCGTCGCGACTATCTGTCGTGAATACAGATAGCAAGCACTCTAGAAAGTGGCGCGCAAAAGACTAAGTCTTTGTCTTTGTCTTAAAATTCCGGGACAGCGGCCCTGATGTATTTCACGAGCTTCGATGGAATCTGCGGAGCGATTCGGTAGGGAAGCCTTTTGACCCAAATCTGCCCGCTCGAGAAGATTTGATGCCTGCAAATCCAGGAAGTTTTCAGGAATGTCAAATCTGCGTTCGGTCGTACTCTCCCTTTCGACATCGCTACTGCGCATCGAGGTCGCAATAGGGAACACGAGGGAACGTGTCCGCTGAACGATGCATCGTCGGTCGATGCGGCGTGAGTAAATCTTCGCAGGCTCTTTCGATCTCTTGACGGTCATGCTAGCGTATGACCGACTGGCGAGGTCGACTGTGGAAAATTCACAATTTCTATGGACATTATTGTCCCCCCAGCAGTTCTGCGGGACTCGACGATTGCGCATACAAGCGATGCCTCGAGCTTTGGGTGAATGTGCAAAACAATGTTAGAAAATCGGACCTTCGACCTCGGGGTATGATATCGACTCATGTTCTGTACTGCGGAGTCGATGAATTTGGAGGCCTTCATAGGTCAAGTTGATCTCCACTGAAGTGCTCATAGATGCAACGCACGACTCAGACGTTCCACAAAGAGGAACACGAATTCTTCAAAGACCCGATTGTCCATGCCTTGCGTTTAGGTTATTTCCTCTTCTAACTCTAAGGAGTTTCAACAAAAGTCGGGCCAAGTTAACCTTTTGACACTTGAACGCCGTTTCTGCAATCTGTGTATTGGCTTTGTTCAAATGGGCCAAAATACCTTTCATTTCTGTTATTGAATTGTGCTAAAGGTGCTTATATTCGTACGTGAAGATTTGCTTTCACAGCAGCCAATTGGATTGTTTTTCACTATGTCCAGAATCAATCGACTACATCATTTCATGACCCACTACAAATGTTGAAGCAAAATGACGTAATTTCTATGAGCCTTCTTTTGATGTGTTCTATTTGAAGCTCAGCCCAATGACTTTACTTCCGATGCAGAGATGTAGACTTTTGTGATAAACGACACCCAAATGCCTACACTCTCGATGATCTTTGAAACGGGTGTTGAGGTTTTGGCTGAAGATGTTCGTTTTCAACATAGATAGATCTCAACAGTCTTTCCCTCGAACCAGGCACTGCCATCTATTCCTACATATGTCTATATTTGTGTACCCAATTGCACATTCTAGCACCAATCGTACGCACATCCAATTTGAGGGCCGTAGAAAGATCCCGCTAGGTCTTTCCAGTTCAAGATGTACAGATCCTTTGAAGAATACCACCAGCGCACTCTTGTCCAGTAGACCAGATCGGTAATCTTGGCTTGGAAACAAGATGTTCATCCTCGAGAAGTCCACCCAGGCCACACGTTCACCAAGAACCAAAGAGATAATCAAATGATTCGATAGAAACATTTATTCGTTGATTGGTATTGGGCACTTGAACGGAAGAAATTTTGCATCCCAGAACCGTGTGCCAAACAAACGTAACGACGACTGGCGCTTTCTTGTTGGCAGCGGCAGAAGTTTGCCTCGATTTGATACAGCATATTGACCTCTCGTTTGCATGAGCAATCATCACCCATCGTAATGACTACATGTAGTTCTCCGATCAAACGTGGTATGCAGGTGCCGATTCCGCAGTAAACGGCGGTGTGGAGACCCGCCGAAGGACAGAGGGAGGGTCGCATCAGAGCATCATCAGTCTGCGATTCAAGCGTGGAAGCTTCAATGGCCATCAGAAGATGCTACAGATCGGAGCAGGAGCTCGGGAGATTAGTGACCTAATTCGTGTAAGACTCTTCCGAATTTCAAATTTCAAATTCCGGACGCGTGCGACATGAATGCGGACGCCCTGCAAGTTCTGCGCTCCCTCGGTTGCATTTATGTCTCACGACAAGATGTCCAGATGCCACACTCAGAACACCTTCTTCTGTTTAGACCGAATCATTTCAATGCGCTTTGTTTGAATGTTCCTCCACACCGCACCTTCAGAATGTTGTCGAGCAGAGGTTTCAACAACAGCCTCAGTCGGGAGGGGGTTCCGCTCTGAAAGCAAAGATGGACCGACCACCTCAAATCTGCCATGGATGACACAACGATTCTGAATAAGACGGGTGCGGACCTCACGGTGATATCGGTCAGATTGGATATTCTGGACCCGAATTCCACCGATCCAATACGTGAACAAGCAGCAGGATCAGGGTTCGGTAGAAGAAAAAGGGGCTTTAAGAGGTCATGACATACAAAAAGCTGAGCAACATGTTTGCGAGATAGATATTTCTCACATCTCCTCCACTCTTTTCATCCGGGAAAAGGGCTCGCGACAGTGAGGTACAATGCGCAAGTTACGGAAACCATTAGTCCCTCGTATCACTACAATGGTACAAAATGGCCTTGCTCCATCCAAGCCCACCGTGCATCCTCGAGCGATTTGGTACAATCTCTTTCCCTTTCCAAAATCTGAAAGATTTTTCCAAACTGCTCTTGTTGTTACTTTCTGTTTGTATTATCATCGCTGCCGATTAAAGAGAATTCTTATGCATGTTTCGAATAAAAAGTTAGGGTGACCCGGTAAAATCACGAATAAAGAATTGGAAGAATCCATCACATCGTTCGAGGATGAAACCAAGCGGGTATCATGAGGTATCACCCATAAGTCAAATTATTGGATGTATTTCTTTCTGCATCTTCCACTGTACGGCGCTTTCTTCCTCCAAGAATGATCGAATAAGAGATCGTAGGAATTCCATATAGCAAAAGAATGAAGTCTATATATATATATATATATATATATGGAGATTTTTGTGGATGAATCAAATGAGATAAACTCTTGGGTGGGCCTGGGGTCTACGCGCAGGTTGCTTCAGGTGCACACCTAATTTGTACCCAAAGGGATGTTAGGTATCACGTCCTAGAATATTTCAGTTTGCTGTAGGAATTTTCTTTTAGTGTTCGCATGAGGAGAACGGAATCTTGAATGCAAAAGCACCGCCATCTCCGATTTTCTCCGACTTTGTAAAGGAATATGTACTTCATAGTACGGGAAAACTATAGAGATCGCAGAAACATTTGAGGAAAAGGCAGATGATGGCAGAGAGAGATTGATAATCTAGAATCGGATTATTTCTTGCCTCTGAAGTTTCATGATCTACCGTGCCGAGCTGATGCGTGTTGCGGAGGGAGCGAGCGAGGAGGAGGCTCTTTTTCTCTTTTCTCTGCGGCCTAGATTCTCAAGAGCCGAGCCCCACAAGATTTGGCGACAGTCAGTTGAGGCTTTCCAGCTGTAGGCTCGCTTTCTTCTCTGTGTCGTGTAGCATTTGACCAACATTCCACCAGAACGATGAGGATGAGCGAGCGAGCGAGCGAGCGGATCTCGATCTGCTCTGCTTATCCGATATCATTTGGACCCCAACTTCGCAAAAGGCTGGTCGACCAATTCTGGACGACAGTAAGCAGTCAAGCCTCACAACAAATCCCCGACGTCACTCGGCCCCGGCCCCGTGCGCGAGCCAACTTTCCATCGTGGAGACCTCTCCGAATCATTGTCTTACCACTCGCTCCTTTCGAGCTCCCTCTACGTCCCCATCCACATTTCGAGCACTTTGTTTGGTTCTCCATCCTTTTATTTCGTGAATTTTCCCAGGGCCTGCTTTGAACCTGGCAGCTGTGGATTTGGTCAATCGAGAGCACTACACCAATATTGACGCATTGGCTGATAGCTTCAAAAAATGATCGCATGTCCAGTTAACTTTATGAAGGAAAATGGGTAATACCTCAAGTAACACGTCACGTGTTAAATAGTTTTTGGCGATGTCTTCATATGCGGTGTGATTTCTAATAAATAAATAGAGATATTTCATTTATGTGAAGATGAATTGATTTAGGTTAGTTCTTCAGATAAAATCTACACATCATTTCTAAATTTATGTCCAACTTTATTATTTTTTGCTTTTTAGCAGCTTAAGGGCTGATTTCAGGTTGCACTTCCCGCTGGCGACACGATGGCTGGGCCGAGGCCACAGCCAGATCGAGTGGATCTGTCACCTGGATTATTCAAGAATAAAAGAATGTGTTCACATCTCTATTCTATTCATTTCAATCCAATCATTCCATTTTTCCACTTCAAAGGAGTAACCTTTGAAGTCACATATAAAATAGTCACATACTTTAGAATAGATTTTATGCACTCATCAATTATCAAATACACACGAAAGACAGTAAGTTTGTACGCTGGAGAGTTTTGCTATATCTTAAAATTATTCTTTAAAAAATGGAAGTTTTTTGAAATTTACAAGTTATCTTATACAAGTACATACATAATTTACATTTTTATACAACCTTCAAATCGTGAACATTATATTCATTGTCTACTGACACATTGTAACATATAAGAACAATAATGGTACTGGAATTCACATAGCACATAATTTGACGTAAATACATGGTGACACGCACATACATTCATACATGTGTGTGTATATGCATATGATCAGATTGGAACATAGATAACATCCAAATATAAGGCGTCTCAGATTAACTAGGAATTAGTATAGTTTTCTCAATGTGCAATAGTATTGCACATGTTGACTCTGAGTACAAACTCTGTTTCCAAAATACCCGTAGAGACTCGTACACTTAATTTTCAAGACAAAATCTTAACGCAATAAAATTCGGCTCTGGCTGTCCAGAACTTGGGTTTGCACATGAACGCTATCATACAAACGCAGGGTAGTGATTGTAGAGGAGTAGAGACACAACGTGTCCTCCATAACAATATTTATTTCCGAGCAAGAAATTCTACCTTACTACACTGGAACGCCCTGATGTTTGATGACATTTGCCTTGGGTAAACTGATAATACGCAACAATATCATTCAGTGTAATCACTTTCGACTAGTAATGAAAGTGTTTATGCCCACGAACTACTAATCTTTCTACAAGAATAACATTCAATGCATGCATGCATCAAGTACCGAAGAGTGCACAAGCCCACGACTGACTGAAATATCCCTTGCAAGAGTCTTCCATCGACAAACCTTCACTTCTTGGAGGAGGATCAAACAGTCTCATGCCATAATATCTCTCTCTCAATGACTGGAATCCTCGACGTTGGCAGTTCCGCTGTTCAGCAATCGGTACCAGTTTGCCACAGATCACGATCACTCTAAATACCGAGAGCACCGGCCACGACGGAAACGCAAGCTTGCGTCAGGTGGATGAATGCCAGACTCTACGAAATAGCCAGAGCTCGCAGATTAGAGGAAAGTCGACTCCATCGAAACATTCTCGCTTACTTCTTCGGTACATACAATACACATACGAGTCAAGTATGCCCATCCTATCGACGTGGGGCCATCATGCATACGTACCGTCCACAGTAGCCAGAAGAAGTGTCTCCAACAACCTCCTAACCTCCGAGTCATACGCTGTACTCATCGATCGAGCAGGAGCACACAACAATCAGCACTATCAGCGGCAAGTACAACCCGATGAGTACGCTGTACTTATCGTATTATGTACATCACACTCTACTGTACGCGAGAAGCCGAATTACGTCGCACGATGTATTTCCATAACTTTTCACTCGTCTGCACTCCAGTAGAGTGCAGTAGTCGCCAAGGTTTGACCCGCTCATCTGGCGAGGGCCCTAAATGTAGCTAACTGCTAGATGAAGCGTGCGAATGCGCTGAGGTGCCAATCTGGCGGCGTTTCTCCGGACGATGGAGCAACGCGGTGATTGGGTATTGCTCACGAGGTGTAAACCCATGGAACTTCGACAACCGTGTGAGTGGTGAACACTGTACCGTGTATGATTGACCGACGAGCCTGATGCGTAATACTGCTGTCCGCAGTAGTACACGGATTACCTGGTAAACCCCAAGTCCAGTACAGTACAGTCCAGCACTGCCCTGTACGTTGCCTTCTCCGAGCACGTAGTTCGATACCGGAAGCTCAGATCTTCGCTCAACTACACTCGCTCCAGTGTGTACCGTTATCGTACTGCAGTGCCAGCCGAAGGTGCCGTTGTGCACGAGAGGGAATGTAGTGCGGCTGCCTGGTAGGTTCAAATCTCATGGTCCACTCATGGCAGATAATTACCTAACTCCTATATAAGCCAGATTATTTAATGTTGCGATATTCTTGGATCTGCAAGGAAATACCCAATTTGCCTTATAATAAAATTAACTTGCCTCATCGATGTATAAAAAAGGGTATCAGAGGACGATTAGGCCTCCGGTTATTATAATACTCATATATATAAATCGGATTCGATGGCTGTGATGTGGTACACTTGTGAACGGCTTGTGAGGCAGACGCTGAGATTTGGAGGTTTCGGTACAGTCCGGCTCGATGTCTGATTTTCCGTTGCTGTTGCTGATCACACGTTTAAGATTGGAATGAGAAATTCGAATTACGAATGGAGCCGCGGCAGTTGGGAATGATGTAACGAGGAGCGGGAATGATGCGGCGCGGAAGGTTGAGATTATTACTGCGATTATTCATATTTTATGGGGCACCACCGTTGACGCTTCGATCTCGCAGAGGCAGACGTCCGGCGCTCCGCTCCATGTGAGGACTGCACAGGCCGCTAACGAGAAAGCCTGACAGCCGGGAACGGAGGCAGGCGCCGGACTGAAGTCTGAGTTCGGGGCCTTTGGGCTTCCTTTGAAATTATTGTGGAGGAGGGAGGGAGGGAGGAAGAGCAGATATCAGCCTGCTGCGGACGCGTCCTGTTTGAAATTTGAAATGAGCCCTGTCTTTGGCGTTACGGGACGTGAAAGTCGCGGAGAATGTTTCCTGCTGCGATAGCAGAGTTATAAATACAGGACGTATGCGGTCGTAGCGTACCGATCTGCAGAACGGACGTCGTCCAACTGCTCCGTCCGGGATGATTCTGATCCACGACTCGCGTCGTCGCTGCTTCCGTCCAGAAAGGCAACATCGTCCACCTAATACCGTACTTCGCTCTCTGTATGGACGCAGCACACATATATTACATGTACGGGCCTTGTATAGCGCCTGACTCGTCTGTCAGCGGGCGAACGATCACTTCAAAGCGAGGCCCGAACACCAAAAAGTAATATTAAGAATCGTAGACATGGAATTCAACCACAGTCTAAGAAGCCCATTCATCCGAAGAGCGCGGACACGGGCGAGACAATGGATGTTATCGTCTAAAGATAAACCAAAACAGAACGCGAAATAATATAATATTAATCGAGAAAGTGACGTCATGCTCTTGCTGAAAGGGAGATTCAAGCCCAAATATGATCTTCGAATTGGCGATGAGAATGAAAATGAGAATAACTTCTCAATATTGTTCTGTGCTCAGACATGTTTTATGCAGGAAATCTGCGAAGCTCATTTTGGTTTGAACAGTTCTTCGGTTTATCAGGATCGGTAACCATATGAGGCAATCAAGTTTTACAGGCTTCTATGGCGTAATGAACGAATCAAGCCTCTTCTATTCCTAAAACGTCCGCTCAGTCGCCGGTACTGCTGTCTTTGAATCCTACGAGAGCCCGCCGCCTGACAAGAAGACGGTGCGGATGACTGGACTCTTTCGGTGAGATGTGGTGCTTGGGCAACGAGATCATTTATGAGCCCGGGGTTTAGACAGGAAGACTCCAGTACAACCAAAAACCTTTTGCATGTCTCGTGTACGAGGGCAAAATAGCAACAGGAGAGGTGGCACATGGCCACCGAAGAATGGAGGAGGATTTGAAACGAGAACGCACCAGGTAATCAGTTCGAGATGTACCACGAGGAATATCCACACATTGTGATCTAGGAACACATGGTGTGATGCAAAACAATGCAAACGAACCGCCCTCTCGCGCGACGGGACATGGGTGCCCATGATGTCGAGCACATTCCGGACGATACTCTAGACTTTTTCAACAGGAGGGTGTTTATGTGGAACTAAAGCTGCACCCCACCCCCCTTTCGGCAACATGATTGCTGCTTATTTTATAGACATGCGTGAACGTGAGCCCGTCCATTAAAAAGTACGCATTTTTAATCGAAAGGAAATTCGGCTGTTCGCTGCCGAAGTCCAGCGCTCTTCTCATCTTGATGAACTCGGTGCAGTAAAGGTACGGACGGACCCTCATAAATAAGCGCCGAACTATTCTTCTGTTTCGTGCAAGTGGATCCGGATTCAGCCTTGCACTCTATGACTAGTACTACAATTCTATATGCAGGGACGGCAGCCACCTGCCGGACGATCGCAAGGAAGCATCCAGAATGCTGGCGAACCCTGAACAACCGGGCCGAGGCATTGCGTTAGTCTTATAATTCCACACCTAACCTGCTGCTGATCACACACAACGCTGGGCGCAAGAGCGATGCGAGATTTGATCTACATCCGTCGCACGAGGTGTCAAGATGGTCACAAATTCATGATACTGTTTTGACCGTGAGCGGGTTTGTCGTCGTCCTGGCCCTAGCCAGCCTCTCGCTCTCCTCGCGCTGGTAGAAGAGCTCGTCGGAGCCCTGTACAATATCTGGGCCAAATGTCACGAAATGTGTTCGTGCGGGTGCCCAACTATTTAGGAGCTACAGAGCCATTACAAGGGACACAGTGACTACGACACCTCATTTAAGAAGTTGAGTGTGTGTTTACACCGAGGTTACACTGTGTCGCTGCCGTAATAGGTCCTAAACCAACACAAAACAGCTGAGCATCTGGTGATCGTGTCCAGGTCATGCCTCATGTGTTCATTTCATAAGCTTCTGAATCTCCCAGCCTCGGCGTCCTGATGATTGTCATTAGTGTTCGAATTACGCTGCTAATCGCCACATGCAGGAATGCCAGCGCCACCACAGCATGTCTAGTCCTTTGTCTAGGGGCAAGGAACCAAGTGCATCTCGCCGTGAGATCACCCGGAGGGGATGAAGACGAATATGTCTAAGTATACTTACTGCCATTTAGGCTTCCATTTAGAGCCTAATGTCCAGCAGTACACGAGCACGGGCGAGGGGGACGTGTACAGAACATGGCCTTGGTATACGTTCTGGTGCTTCTCAGCTTACTCTCTGTCTCGCTCTTAGTGTACACTTCTCTAAAAATGTAAAGGAGATATGGGTCTGCGAGAAACATTCTCGACAGATTTAGGCGTATCCTGTAGATCGTGGGAAAAAACATGGCTTCTCTGCTCGGTCATTCCTCCGTCTGTAGCTGGGGAAGTTTTCCGCTGCTGCTGCTGCTGCTCATTTCCGAACTTGTGCTTATCTTATGTCGAACAGTGCTCAGCTCAGGACCTCCCTTGTCTTTCGAAATTTGCTGCTAACTTTTCAGGGTGGTTGATGATGCAACACGCGTGAGTACAAGTCATCTTACTCGCTGCATGTTTCCCAGCCAGTAGCTTGCACACCTGGCTTTGCCTCGGCTTGGCTCGAGGCCCATCATTCAATGCAGTATACGCGCAGGGGAGTAAGCTGTAAGTTGTAAGTTTAGTTGTTGGTTCTTGTTATGAGACTGCGTGGATGAGATTAAGGTCTGTTCCCTAGAGCAGACAGGTGTGATCCATGTTGTGACACAAGTTGCAAGGTCTGGAAACAGCAAATGGGGGGTGGGGGAAGGGTTCATCAAGGACATCAAGGACAGCTCCTAAGAATAGAGCTAAGAATCAATTGATGGGTTTGTGGACATCCGGACGAAAGTTTTCCGGAGGCTTCGGAGAGCAAACGTAGAATGCGTCAAGGCGAAAATGCCCTGCGAAATGTTGAACCGACTTACAACTTCAACTGAAGGATAAGATGTGATTCGGGGAGGAGATGGGATGTATATATTTTCGCAAGATCTACAGCTACTTGCGCACTTACTGCCTTGAAAAATCACTCGCAAGTTGGCATTGCAATGGCGTATAAATTCTTTTGCACGGCGGTTTCGTAACAGGACGAGGTCTAGCTGCAGTGCACTGCAAAGCTCATCCTTTTCTCTTGTGTGTACTTAATGCCCGAAGTGACCGGATGTCACAGGGCGAATGGGCCAACTGTAGTGACAAGTCGGTCGGTCAGTCAGTCTACCTGCCTGTCTCTCTGTCTGTCGAAGCAGATACAACATCCACATAATCTTGTCCGGACTAAGCTCTGACTAAGTTGACGTTTGAGCATGTAATCCCCGTGATTACTGCTCGAGGATACAACAAAGCCTCTGAAAGCTGCAGAGTGTGCAAAATATGCTCGGGGCACGTGAATTACGGCCTCTTTTCAACTCTTCCTGACGCACATCTCGCAAAACATCATTACCCATCTGGCTGTGAAATCATTCCTCAGAATCCAGATGTTTTGGTCGAACAGATAACCTCGCATGATTAACGAATGACTCACAATTTGCAAACCGCACAGTGAATCAAGTGTTCGAGTTCCATCGGTAGACTGCATCGAGTTTCTTTCCCAAAGTGGTGAATCTAGACATGACCCGTTCAAACTTGATTTGACCCCTCGCCAAGCTAGCTGCCAACCATCGCCAATCCCCACCTCCGACCCCCCGGCAGCAACAATGACACGACAAAGTTGATGACACAAAGCACTTGGTGAAATGTAATGAGTAGAGTACCGAATAACTGCAAAGCCCCCTTCAGTCTCTCTGACACAACGTGCTCCCAAAAGGCACTGTGGCAGTCAGTGCATCGTCATCGTCAGTTCCTCTCTACTCTACACGTCTCCTCTTCATCCATCGCTGCCCTCAAGGAGATAGAGAGAGAAGGAGGAGGATATGAGTCCAGTAATACCCAGAATGAATCCAGCCTCCAGGTGCTCGGATTAAGAGGTCCTCTAGATTTGGCATCTCTGGAGTCCTTGTCCTCGTTGTTGAGACTTTAGCGGACCTGAAATGGCTCACTCGAAAGTGGTCACTTGGAGTCTACGGACACGCAGCGTAGCCAAATTAAAGCTAATATCTCAAAAATCACTCGAGATTGCAGTTTAATGGAGAGCTCAGCACCTTTTTAAGATGAAAACAGTGCCCTGGCAAGAGAACAGGGAAGCCGAAGGAGAGATTTGGTAATCCGTTAGGCAGGGATGTAATTTCTGCCAGTTTCGTGGGGCTGAAACAAGAATGACGTAGATCGTACACTGATGGAAACAGCCAACGGGAGCTCTGGCGCAAGTAGACAACGAACAGAGATAATGATTGTGGAGCGAATATTTGAGATATTTGACAACTTTGAAATGTGCACTGGTACTTTGGAAAAGGTGGCAATCTAACTTGTAAAGTAGAATAAGAAGAGGGCGGAACATTTATAACAGCTGAGTTTGAACTTTTGGGGCGAGAGAGAAAATAACTACAACAACTACAACAGCAACAACAACAACAACTTTCCTTGGCCTCTGGCCTTTGGGGCGAAGAAAGTAAAATGGGTGCACTGCACTGCACAGTACAGCACACCTCGCCATATTCTAGATTACAATAAAATAAAGGACGAGAAAGCACCTGCACAGTATCCTTGCAGAGCGCTTTTTTTAAAGAAATTCTCGGCCGCCTTGCCAGAGGGCAGGCAGTGACAGCGTAACTAACATACGATCTGGTTGTCTTGGCTCTCAAGTTCAAAGAGAATCACAAAAGAGCCCAACAAAAATCCCAGAAATAGTGGAACTGAGCACAATCTGGCCACAGTAGCTTTGCTCTGCTCTGCTCTGCTCTTCTGGGTTCTGCTTAGCTGAGCTGAGCTTCGCGTGGGCAATCGCGCCTGGAATGAATGATGTTATCATCTTTTCTGCTTTCCAGAGCTTGAACGGTTGAAGGGTTGAAGGGTTCGAGACTCGGGTCTCGTAATGAGTGTTTTGAGTGCTTAATCAAATGCATTTGAATTCCGAATGCCAGCCTCCCTAACTCTTGCTTGCTTGCTCGCTCGATCGCTCGCTCATTTACGATGATTGACCTACCCTAGCACCTCCACCTTTCAAATGCTGCATTGTGGTCTGCCGATCGATGTGTCATCCGACCCCAAACATAGCGGGCGATGACGTTTCCATGAGCAGTACAAACTCGAAGGCGAACACTTGCGGAGGAAGGGTCGCCTCAAATCAGCACGCATGATGGGAACCTAAGTTCCTAAGAGTGAAGAGGGTCTTGTAAAATAGCTTTCAATTATTTGGGAGAGTTCATGTAGACTTGAAGGCCTTGTCACGTGCCAGATCGTAATTGGCCTGGACAATTCGGCGTAGAGATTATCATTATTAGAAGAACAACTATTCTCGAGATGAAATTCCGAAGCCCTGTTTGTTTGGATGAAAAGTGGCCGGAAATGCATTCGAGCTCAACATGAATGACTTCATACCTTCGTCACCCATTTCTCATCATAGGTCACGTCCAAAACATCCTTCGTTCCATCCATTGCCCGGATGTAGTTTGCCTCGACGCGGAGACTCCGCGTCGAGCCACAATCATAAACTAAATTAGTTGATACAGAACAGGAATCTGGATTGAAGAGAGGGGCATATATCCCAATGTGATGCATTTCCCTTCACCTTTGGTTTCATCCATGTCCTACTTGATGGGGTCTTTCCATGCTTTCTGTAATTTTACTTCGTCCTGTTGCTGTGATTGATTGAAGAGGGTAATGCTAGAAGAAGAGAGAGAGTTCATGAGTGCCACTGAGGAGGAGGAGGAGGAGGTAGGTTTGTGGTTGTTCTGTGGAAAGTTGTCGCCATTCCATTACTCTGCAGTGTAGTCGAGTCTTCCAACGATTGAGCATCCATCATGGACCGTATTTTGTCCATCATTTGGGTTCAGATTCGACACATCTGTAGTGGTCAAAACTGTGAACATGATCAGAAGAAAGTTGTGGCTTTATGCTCCGGGTCATTTATGCTCGAGTGTTATAGGCCTCCATCCATCGGGCAGTCATGAGGCCTTTGCAGGACCTGGTCCTCGCGCAAAGAAGAAGAAATCTGGACTCCAATTGAGAGGGTACCGAATACCTCATAGTCTACGACGTTGCCCATGGCCGGCGTAAGGGGATGGAGAGGTTGCAGCTGACTGCGAGAGCCTGCACATTCAAGACTGGCGAGGAAAGGCTCTTCGTATTCAATACACATGTGCTTTCAGATTGTTACAGCTTTTGCCAATGTTTGATGGCAAGATTCTTAGACACCCCTACAATTCCCTCGCTCTCAGATATTTATGCCTTGCTGCTCGTTTCCGGGCCTTTATCATTTTGGAACGAGCATGGTCGGTCCAGAAGCCTCAAATTCCCATTTATGGTGGAGAAAATCCGAGATTCCGAAGAAAACATTCTGCCAAAAGGTTTGATGCTTTCCCAATCGTTGATGAGTATGGGCTTTTGCTTGCTTTCCATACACCATCGTCTGCAAGAGCTTTTCACCTTTGGACGTTAGTCTAGTGCTCTCCCACATGGGAGGCATGGGTCACACCTTCGTACTTCCATTTTGACAACCTTTGATGCCGTGGACATCCAGACCTTTTCAACTCCGGGCAAGAATGACGGCACCCCAATGAGGTGACGCGAATTTCGCATCCTTCCTTCGATTATGAAGTCTGCAAGCTTCATTGGCTTACAAGCACGGCCACCACATTCCACGCACCTTAGAATGAGAACTGAAAATCTCTTGTGCTCCATGTATGACAGGAGGGCATCTCACATATACATGACGTCTTAAGGACAAGCGCAATGGAGACGAATTCGGGGGTGAAAATCCGCCATTTTGGAAACATTGCCAGTTTGTTACTCTTATTACACTCACAGCCGCTAGCTTACGGTGCTTCCTGATTCTGTTTGATGAGTATGTCCAAACAGAAGAGGGTTGCATGGAATGGGATGGGTAACAGGAAAGTGATACTAAACGGTGAAGAATTGATGAAGAGAAAAATATACGATTTGAAGCCGTCCAAAAAAATATTAGTAGAGTTGCAAGCAAAATACATGAATTAAATTTTTGAGAATGATGTTTCTTGCCAAATTTTATAAAGACAAATTCTGTATATTTTTTTAGATATAATGATGGAATGGATTCCAAACGATGAAAGTGACCACACCCAGCAAAATCTGAATTAAAGTACCAAAATTTACAAAACTTAAACATACAAGTGAGGCTACATATCTTGCCACATGAAAAGCTGAGATGGTTTTTTGGGTTGAAAGAATTTGTTCCATAGATCTATCTAGATAATGATTTCTTAGCCATACTCTAATCAAAAGTGATCATGATGGAAAAAAAAAACTTTGATCATAATTAAATTACTAGATTGCAGTTTCGAGGAATAAACTATAACCCACCGTAATCATATCCCAATGCACTTTTACTTATTCTATATTAGCTTCTTTATCAACACTGTCATCAGCACCCTGATTTCCGAGGTTGATCCAACCTTAAAACTCCTTTTTCGACTCGCCACCAAGTCTATAGTCCTCTCATCTGAAGATGATTCGTGTCATCATCATATCACAGGATGAATGTTATAACTTGAAAACGTGCGAGCTTGTTATCAATGGAGGAGACAAAATCTAGTGACGTATTCTCTACGCCATATAGCATTTTGATATCCCGCTCAGTAAAATTGGTCATCCCACATTGCTACTAAATTCATAAGGAAAACGTTCATGTTGTAAACATTGTGACATACTTTACCAGTTAGTGAAATCGCAACATCCAATGCTTCTAGATATAATGATTATATGAATTCTATACTAAACACTAGTGATTCCTTTAATCTTATGTGTACGGACATAAAGTTGAAATGTTTCACAAGAGAATGAGCCAGACAGAGCACACTCCACTCGAGGACATGGGATATGTATATTGACATATTGTGCAAATTATCTTTAGATAACATTGGTATGCACACAATCATCCATATAAGAGCTAGAAGATTTATGGGGTTCTTTCATACCCGAATGATATGGTAAAGTAATAGTCCACATTATCGGGAACCATCCCATCCTAGCATTGTGGTTTCAACCTTGCA